AATATGGGTTTCTAATAAATAGTAATAGAGTTTTTGAGATTTGGTCCTAAATGCATTAAGATTAATTTAGGAATTCAAGGAAGCCAGACAATCTTTTTGAAACTAAAGTATGGTTTAGTGATTTAATTTATATAGCAATGAGTTGTATCATATTTACGAATTTGAAATATTAGTTAAAATTATGTTTTACCCTTTAGGAAAGTTTGTTAAATTTTTGGTTAAGTTTAACAGTTTTTTGTACAAACTATTTAAGCATGCAACTGGGAGATATGATGTACTTTTACTAAGAAAGCACAACTAAGAACATTTGCTACAATTAAAAACTTTGTCTACTAGGCATCTAAAGATAACTCAAGTGGTAGCAATTATAGTTTGGGACTTCTCTGGATCATAAAAAAGTTGGAACCACAAAATTTTCAAACCTTAGCATTTTATCACCAGTTTTCATAACCTGCAGAAAATTTAATTATTTGAACTGGCATTTATATAGCAGTTGTTAGCAGATGAAATTAACTATTTGTGATTATACCTGTACATTAAACAGATGCCATGTCATAACTATGAAGATAATGAAATATTGATGTACACACCACAACTGTTGGTGAAAAAATTTTTTTGCAAAAAAAGTAAAATAATTGCACAAATGTGATATTGGCAAAAACTCATAGCAGTTCCTAGAAGTGTTCACAATACATAGCTAGACTAGAAGAGATATATCTAGTCACCATCACCAACATTTTGGCTATTCTTTTATGTACTTTTATTATACTCAGTTGAACTTTCATGATCTACAAAGATTGAATATTATAATAAAATTATTTTGTAGCCTCACCACATCATTACAGTGCATTTCCTCCAGTCTGGTCATGTTTTATCTGACAATAGACCTGGAGGGTAGTTTTCATCAAATAAGCCTCATCCAGGCATTCAATAAACACTAGTATATGAGGTTGATGATTTCTTAGTGCGTGTTTCAACAGTCCAATCACACAGAAATTCACTTACCTGTGAGTTTTTTAACAACAGCACAAGCTCAGTATGTTTAATAAAATATTTTAAGAGTCAACAAAATTAGCACTCTTGGCATATGTTAATTCAACCTTATTCATCAAGCATCAGTATGATTGAGCTCATCTGTCTTAATGAATGCTACAGCATCTGAGATACAGGTTAAATAAATTACAAATTTGGTTGTAGGAAAAATGTTAAAACCCACAAGTTGTAACATAATGCTAACATAGTATACTGATAGAATTTTATAATGATGCAAAATAGGATTTAATTTTGGTGAATGTGTGAAAATATTTTGTTGCAAAACCACTGGTGTGTTTTATGATTTTTTTATAGGACTTTGACATTTTGTTTTGATCTATAGTAACAAAATGTTCTTATTTAAAAAAAATTGTAAGCTTCATTAGTGATTACATTGTTGCTTGATACACATGAAATATACAGTTTTACTACAATAACTTGCAATCTGCACACTTTTTGTATCACTCTTGTTAATGCTACAAGTTAACTTGCATAAAAGTAAAATGTATATATTGTGCAAGTGTTAATGTATTGAAAATTCCTACTTATATTTGAAGTGAAATGCTTGAAATATTTGTAATGTATGCCACATTGCATAAACATAGATGAGTATCAAAACAAGTGTGGAAGCACTCTGTTATGACAAAAACAAGAGGGAATCCTCAATAGCCACAGTTGTAATTAGACTTCAAATTGGTCAAGAGATGGAGCTATGAGCTACAAGTTTGTACTTGAAAAGAAAACTCTGAGCCATTTTATGAGCTACTATGCCATTCTATGAGCCGCTATGCTGCAGTTAATAAGTCAACTTCTTTATTACCAAACCAAAGTAACATCTACTTAGTATTCAATACAGGAGAAGCTTACACTTCACAGAAGATTTCCAGTAAACCTTTAAATGAAGTTTTTAATTCCTGGTAAATTTTGATAAAATGAGATACATCCTTTTGAATGCAATTTAAGAGTGTTACACGTTAGGTGTTTCAGTTGAATACTGTATGTAATTTGTGACTTGTGTATTCATTTGAAAATATCCCATTATAATCAGCTTTATTATTCTGTGTGTATAAGGCACTTGAAAGACTTCGAGCTTATGACTTGGTTTAATTTTTGTATAAACAATTATGAAATCGCCAGTGTATGAAATTAGAGTTGACAAACATGTTTCTAGTCATCCACTTTATCTGCTTGTAAATGCAATATTTAACACAATTTGTATTTATGAAACTTATTCCTCTGTAGAGTAAGGAAAATAAATTTTAATGAAACATTCTAGCATGATTGTATTAATATTTATGAATTTGAACATTTTTATTTACATTTACTTAAGTTGTGTAAGCCAGACAGTTGCTCAGTCAAAGACAGTTTTGACTCGGGAACAATAAACTATTTTCACAGAGGTAGTTAAAGTGCCAAAACCAGTTTTAAAAAACAATGCAAATATGTGGGTAATTTATGATGTAAATGAAGAATGATCACAAATGTCTGAGATATGACCACTTGTAAATCTTGAGTTTTTTCTAAATTGCTCAGTGCACAGTACTGTATGTCAAACTTAATAAAAAATTGTGAAATTAGTATAAAATTTCCTAGTGTACTTTTTAGGATGATATTAGGATTGGCTTTGTTCTGTAAGTGCATGAAAGTGCCAGTAAACTCAAAGTACTAAAAAATATCTTCAAAACTCCTGATTTTTTGGTTATATTTTAGATGAGTAGTTCTACCATTTAAGCCTTTGATTTATTTCAAATTTATTATATACATTTTAATTTTCATGCATGGAACATAAGATGCACAGTTTCTGGCAAAAAATAATCTCTTAAAATACCCCTTTTTTATTATATAGCTAGTATATTTTTATCCTACAAGAAAAATAAACATTTTAGGTAGTGATTCATCCACAAAATGACAGGTGGTATGGAGAATATAACACTTCACACACTTGTCATGATACAGCAAGCTGAAATGTTAATAATACAAGAAGTGTTAAGTCATCATTTTCCTTGCTAAAGTCATTGAAGATAAAAAGGTCATTGTTTCACAAGTTCAAGTGGCTTTCATGTCAGTTGTAGTTTTGCAGTCTGGGATTGGTTACTGTTAAGTAGAAGCAATATGATATTCATAAAATGGTGCAAAAAATCAAAATAACTGTGATAAATCTAAGTGGTTTGTGCTTTTCATAGTAATGTACTGCCACATACATATACTGTTAAAGCTGTGTAGTTTGTTAAACTACTAGAGCTCACTTTTCTGCTCATGCAGTGGTAGCATATGCAACTTCTTTATCCTAAATCTCAAATTCAGAACAAGGCATTTGCTTCATTTTTCATTATAGTGTTTCAGAGAATAGTGGTTATGAAGGTTGTGTATCGATAGTAGTGTGAAAATACAATATTTATAATATTAGGGTCGTGATGTGGTACATATCACAACCCTTCTATGTAATTGTATTTCAAAATGAAATAATTTGATTTCTTAAGTTAATGAGTGGGTGTCACTCAAGTGGTTTAGTGTTCTCCACTGTTTCACTGAACCTGATCAGAGATAGGTGGAATATAACAGGAATAAAGTATATTATTCAGGTTAGGTTGCATTGGAATGAAAACCACAAAAAAAAAGTGAATGGACTATCTTGAATGAATGTCACAATTCACACAATTTGGACTTTTTGTATCGGCATATTGAATTGGCATTGAAATATTGTTATACGTCGATGTATTTATAAATCATACCTCTAATGTTCAATAAGTTGCACTTACAAGCAATGTAAGGGGCAGTGTAATTTTAGTTACATTTTACAAACCTTATTAATTATCAGGCATGTTTGAAATATTAGTTTTTATTTACTTTTTATATTTGAGGAAAAATAATGAGATTGTATATTTAATCATAAAATGTATAACTGTACAATCAGCTAGGCACTGCATGCAGATTCATCTTATTCTTAGTTTTGAGCTTGCTACAATAAGAGGCTGTATGTTATATGACAAGTTGCATTTGTATATTGTATAGTTACTTACAAATATACAGTGGATGTTGATATACCCATTTGAATAGCTTCATATTTGGATCTTTTAATTTGTTGTTGTTGGGTCTTTATTGTTGAAACATGTTATTTTCATTCATGTACCATAAATCTTAAATACACATCTAACTTTATTACTAATAGCTTTAAATATATCAGTTTTCCTTTGTTTCTCTGCTATGGGCTTCTGAACAGCAGTGCCACTTTTCACAGTTGAATACCCGTGCTCTATTTTAAAGAGTTCTATTTCAAAAAAACTTGGTTATCCTGGCATAATTTACTCTTTTAGTACCTTTGTGCACCCAGAATTTCTGAAACAAACTTAACCCTTTATACACAGATATCTAAGTTGAATGTTAATAACTATATGCTCTAAAAGTCTTTTAAGATAATGATAGAAAAACTTTGAGAGATTTTTTAGGCAGAGTATTCATGATGAGTGAACTGGAATAGATGGCAAGCCTGCCTGTTACAAAAAAGTATGTAGGATGACGTTTCAAAAATCTTTCATCTTCGTGCTAGTGTATGTAACATGTTTCAGATCTTTTTGGTGGATTGTGGAGGATGTGTTGTGATTCATGTTGTAACTCATGAAAATACAAAATTCAGCCACTGTAGAACACATAATGTCAATTGGACACAAACTGTGATAAAACTAGAATCATCAACACAGACAAGTTTTGAAAAACAAGAAAAAGCTTTCACTAAACAGAGATTTGGGATTAGAGATGAGCAATCTATGGCTACCATTGGTTGAAACATCATGCAGTCTTTCCACCAATCAGAACCAGAATTAAACAAACCAGTCAGAACACATCCTTCACAATCCACCAGGATACTTTAAAGACCTGTAACTTCTTACACACACTGACCTGAAAACAGAAGACTTTTGTAACATCGTCCTCTACACTGGTGTTTTTCAACAGGCAGTTGTCGTCCATTCCAGTTTACTCAAAAATAGAAAAACTATTGAAATAGATTACTTAAAGTTTATATTGATAGAAAAATAGTGACAAATTTTAACATCAAATTCTTACTCCTCCTGTTATTCTGTACCATTTCTATTGGTTTTGCCAATACTTATTAGACTTTTTATACTTTCGTATCCAGTACTTGTAATCTGGAACAAATTTAATTTTTGGGAAATTTTTTCATGTTATATCATATCATACGTTCTGCTTTGATAAACTCTAAACCATGCATATGATTACTATGAGATAAAAAGTTGCAAATATTTTATGAAAGTTTTTTAAAAGCAAAAGATGAAAAAATGGTGATATATTTGGCATAATAAAAATGATTTAAGTTTACATCATCACATATATGTATGTGTGTATATATATTGAAATAGATTACTTAAAGTTTATATTGATAAAAAATGGTGACATAAGTGAGGAAGTCTTTTTATACAATCTAAAATCATTTTGTCATGATCAATTAACCAATGGCTTATTTATATCACACAATTAGTGATGAGGAAGACGTGCTAACTGTCCTCTTTCTATTCCATTTATATAATTACTATATTGTTTATTGAAATAAATTTGATGTTAATTATTTTCAAAAATGAAGTATATTGAAGCGCTTAATTTTTTCTATGCAAAGAAAAATGACTAAATTGAAAATTTGTACTTTGTCATATTCTGGTAAGTTTCTAAAATTTTAAATAAATAATTCATGAGCATATATCAAATTGCTTGGAAAGAAACTTTAATGACACAACTACTTCATTTTTACTTTTCCAAATGTAATAAATAAGAATGAAGCAATGTTATATTAATCATTTATTTTAAACAAAACTAACCTCCATTATTGAAATTATTCTTCCAGACAATGTTTAATGTAAATATATATATATATGTAAAGAAAATAAGTAGTGACAAATAGTGTTTATTTCACCCTGTATTGTTTTTAATTCATACAGGTCTTGATGATGGTATTGTGCCTTATGCTCACTTTTTTTTAAATAACAACATTGATGGCAGACGATTGCTAACCCTAGTTGCAGAAGATTTGGTTAATTTGAATGTTAATAAAATTGGACACCAAGAGCTGATACTGGAAGCTGTGGACCTTCTTAGGCAGTTGGTATGTATAAGCTGTATGTTAAATAAATATATGTATATTGTGCACACACACACACACAATTAATATGTATATTAGAACTGGGCTATTAGTGGAAGTCGTTATTGAATAATCATCAGGCTCCTTAATTAATTAAGTCAGCTAATTGGTTATTCTCGCATGAGACTTTCTATTTTTAGCTTCTTTTGATATACATCTTCAGGTACAACAATTTTGGATTAATTTGTTTGTTTTTTTTATCCTAAGCTGTTTTATGTGAAAATGTTACATATGCATCATAGTATGAAACCTATAACGACCTGTCAATGTGATTAATATCATTTAGTAGGTTTTTCCGTACAAATTATTATATGACTAAACCAACAAAACTACTGAATTTACATTGATAAAAATAAACATTGCTTTATGACGTTGATTGTAGATTAAAAAAAAATACTAATAATTTACTAAGGAGATTACTATTAGGAATAGGTCATCACGAGTTACACATGCTTAGTTCTGTGGATCAAATTTGCTATTTTACAGAAGTGCTACTATGCTGACATGATCAAGCACATGGTAGTGAAAAGAATATACACAACTACATCTAAGTGATCAAATCTAGTTGGTAGTTGGTCTACTTTAGGTGTGTCTTTACCGTACAAAGGAACAATAAACTTAACGACATAGGACACTTGTTAAAGATAGAGGAGAAAGAGATTAACATGGATTTAAAATTAGTTTTTATTTTGTACATTGCTATATTGCAATGTGAAGCGAGCCAAAAATTTATAGTTTTGAGTCAGCAGAATGTTGATTCTATCCTTATTACTTGCTTATTTGTCATGCACTTAATGAAGTAATCACAACATACTTATACATAATGAGACTTTTTTCCCTTTTCAGTGCTTCCTATCTAGCTAGAGCTTGTCATAATTAAACAAAGTCCTGTTCATGTAAATTTGTTAAAACCTTAATGGTGTTACTTGTTGATACTGTTATTAGTCCGTATATATAGTAATGTCTGAGAAAAACAGTTAACTGAAGCAGTTGTTCAGCAATCAACATTTTCTTTTAGAAAATAAAGAATAACATATATTAACTTGTAATTTTTTCTTTTATTAAAGAAGTCTTATCCTTAGTGACTGGTTATGTTTGTAGCTAATAATATTAAGTAATATTTTAAATTAAGGGTAAACTGTTTAGTCCAAGCAAGATAAACATGAACAACAGAGATCACTGTGGTTAGTTATTTAACAAATGGCCACTATACCACCCCCATCATATTCGTGAATTGTGTACAATCAGAATGCATGTGTACCATTGTGTGCAGTTGCACCAATGCAAGTAGTACTAGCTGTCATAGTTGATAGGTATCTGAAGCTTAACAGTGTTAAGCTCTGTGTTTGACTTGTGAATTGAGGGTTATGGATTTGATACCCAGAACTACCAAACATGTTTGTTTTTTCAGTTGTAGGGGCATTATAATGTCATGGACAATCCCACTGTTTGTTGGTAAAAGAATAGCCTAAGTGTTGGCGTGGGTGCTGCTGGCAAGTTGCCTTTTCCCTGGTTATAATACAGGAACACAGCAAGACCAACTTTGTTAATATTCTGCTAGCAGTGGTTCCCATTCTTTCAGGTTTTTTACAGCAAAATGCTGTTTTCATGTTAGTATATTACTGGTCTAAAGTCTTGAGTCCAACATGAAAACAATATTTGATTATTTATAACTCAGAAGTTAAAATTATGTTGATAATTTTTATGATAGGCTTCTAAATATTTGTGCGTGTTGAATATTTTATTATTTTCAAATGAAAGAATGATTTTAATATTTATTCAAAACATTAGTAAAAGATCCCAAGATATGTACAAGTATTTTAGAAGATGACTTGATGTATTACTGTAGTTAATAGTAGAAAATAAGCTAAGTACAAAAAACACTTACTGAATAAATAGGGACATATTGTTTTGTCAAATTCTAACCAGTTTTATCAATTGAACATAATTATCAGATTTAGATTACAAAATTCTATGAAACATTCATTGCACCATTTACACAAGCAAGTTGTTTGAGCATTTATGTACCCCTTTCACACACACACACATTGTTTTAATATAAGTACTGTATACACCTCGTATACAAATTATGTTAGCACTCAATTTGTTTTTTCTGTAACATAAAGAAATAAACATTTCTTCATGCTACTGTATCAGAATTTGTGAACACTACCTTTATGAATAATCAGAATTTGTAAGTTACTTAAGAAAATATAAATGTTAAAAACTGTAAGACTAAATCTAACCAGGTTTTTGTGAGATTTAATGTACTATTCTACTAATATAATATAAAACGAAGGAAAGCTGATGTTAAACTCTTTAGTGGCATGAAAGTGCAAGTTAAGGTATAAGTGATTTTCTAAAACATATTTTTGACTGAATAAAAAAGTCATTTTGTTGAAAAAACATTTCTTTTTTTGGATTTGATTTACTCAGTTTTTGATTGTATAGTGTAAGTTTGTAGGCTTAGTAGTTTTAGTCTAACGTTAAAATTGTGTAAAACATACTTTAAATGATCTGTTAAAAACAATGGTTAGTAGTTTAGAGTTATTTGGTAAATAATGAAAAATCTTTACAGAAAATTTTTGATTTTCTTTAAGTATATTTTTGCATATTCTACAAAAAATTAACAAAAGAACAAAAAAAAATAGTTTAAGCATTTTGTTTGCACTTTGAAGATAAAATGTTTGATCATTGAAAACCAACTATTCCCTGTTTAAAGATACTTTTGAGAGTTTATGTGTTTGCTTTGTGAATTTTTAATTATGCATAAGTTTGATAGTTTTGTTAACTTTCTATAGCAATACAACCTTACATCTGAGAACCTACAGTCTTTGTCACTGAAACTGAGCTGCAAGGCATGGAACCTCTTTAATGAATTGAAACTTAATGGACCATTGGAAGCCTCAGATAATAAGAAACAAGAAAAGGTGTCAACAGCAACACTTTCAGCCGTCTCGGACATTTTGGTGTCTGTGAAGTCTCTCATCTCTTGGCTAGACAGGTAGGTATATTGTAGTATTAAATGTATATCTCTTTCTCTCTCTGTGTTTTGATAGTTGAGTAAGTGTACAGTGCTGCCACAGTGATGTTCTTATTTCTTGATTGCTTAGATATTTTGTCACTTATTGTACAGTAGCCACCTTAAAGTTCCACTTGAAGAGTCATGAAGTGCTACCAAAAGTGTTTCTCAGATAACAATTAAATGAAAACATTGCTTTAAGCTAAATAACATATTGTGGCTACAATATCTGATCAGTGTTCACCTTAGCTAACAATAATGCTAGGTCTTTTTAACCTTCTTAAAGTCTGCTATAAAATTATTATAGTGGTGTTTTCCTACATTACCTTACATACTGATACTGCATAATTATTGATACAGTTTTCTGCATACTTCTGGTTTGGGGATATTTCTAATCTAATTCCCTTTCTAATATCAAGGTGTGGCACATTATTTAGAAAATTATAAGTTATTTTGTTGTAGGTTCTTCCAACAAAATATATAAATTGCAGCTATTATCATACTGGATTTTAAAATATTAGTTCTTTTTAAAGGTAGTTTGTAATATGAATAATTATAATTTTTTCAAATTATTTCAGTTTTAGCTGACATGCATAGCCACATAATTGTTTTTGTTATCTCCATGTGGAGTAGTTTATCAATATTTACAGTGCAGCGGTGATAGGAATAAACTATGAGTATGTAGTAATTCACATAAACTCAGTGAATCTGTTTGAACATTTTCTATTATTTATATAGCACTTGACAACATGTCTGTGTTTACTTCTCACATGGCCTAACTCAAGTAGGCTTAATATCAGTTAAAAATTATTGTGTTCTATGGGTTGTTGTGTAAAGTATTTGACTGCTTTAATAAACAATACAGTGTTATTTCTCAACATATTCATGAGTATAACATTTGGTGTCATGAATGAGACTGATGGTCAAATTTGGCTTCAATTTTCTTAATTTTGGGGAAAACAACATGGTTTGGATTAGTTTTTAGCCAAAGAGACATAAATGTTATCAGATGCTGTCACCGTCTAATGGATAAATTGGGATTTTCAGCCGGATGTTGGCAGCATCCACTCGGGTTTAAGGAGTTAAGTTCATTTTCATTAAACCAAATAATTAGGGAATAATGTTAAACTACATATTGGGTGGATTTTAATATATATAAATTATGAAGATCTATTTTGTATGTAGTTATTTGTAATAAACAGACTTATTGTACATTTAAGCACTTAATGAGACATGAATATTCTCAGTGAGGGATATATTTCAGATTTCAAATAAAATCATTATAGAAACATTCTTGAAGCTGAAATTGAGCTTTTCAAAAGTGTATTTAAAATTCACAGTTGTCAGTTGAAGTGGTCGTAAAATATTTGAAAGTTATACATAGCGTAATATTTTGATTCTGTATCTTAAGTCCCATTCAGGATTACTGATTATACCAATTCAAAGGTTTTTTGTGTGTCCTATTTTAATGGGAACATGGTTAAAATATTCTCTCAAACAGTTATTTTAACTATTTTTTATGTTTTCAACTATTTAAGAGGTATGTCACTAAATTTTCCTTCAAACATTTCCAACATAAAGATTTTACTTAGTTTGAAAGTTAAGACATAAACATTATTTTTCAAACTGTGAATAAAATTTTGCAAGTGGAAGTACTGTACAGCTTCAAAACTTGTATAATAATCTTCTATATTTCATTATATTCTGGAAATTTTAATAATAACTCATAAGTTATTATTTCAATGCTGTTTTCGTATGTGATAAGTTTAATTAAATTACACAAAGTTTATATTCTTAGTTTTATCTGTATATGTGTCACCAAAGTATTATTTCTGTTTGACTATGTATGTTGCTAGATGTATCTTTTTTTTTATGTGAATATGTAAGTCAACATGCCAAGTGAGCTATTTCTGTTATTATGTATGTTACCAAGAGTGTCTTCTATTTGAGTATGTGTAAAATGTATAGTTTTGATTAGTGTGTGTGTGTATCATTTTCATTTCTGTTTTATTATGTGTCATCAAATGTATCACTTCTATTTGAATATGTGTCACCAAGTACATCATTTCTGGTTGAGTTTGCATGTCAACAAGATTTCCTTTCTGTCTGAGTATGTGTATAAGCATGTTAAGTAATAGCTTGTATTGTGTACATTTATTTGTTAGCACAATTTTGCAAAAAAAATAATTAATAACAGACTTATGTAATTAATAAAATTAACAGTGTTTTTTTCCGTGTGTTTGAGACACATCTTTATAGTAAGCTTATAATTTAAAAGACCTTGCTTTCTTATTTATCTTGCATTTATTTAATGTTGCTGTTTTTGCATTTGCTTTCTTCAACTAGTTTTACTTTTTTACTGAAAGGCCTCTTCAGTTTTAACTTCACAGACAATCTTTCTGTGGGCTGTAATGTCACTGTTTAAGAAGTTTTTATTAGTTTTAGTTTCATTTTGAATAACCCATGGACATTGTAAGAGGGATAAAAATGGTTTAGTTTTTATTTAGTATGTAGAAACTGTTTTTGTAACAAATTACAGGTGCTGTCATTTTTTTATTTAAGAAGAATTAAATAATTAAGATACTTTACAAAGTTATGTAGTTGAATTTTGTCAGGTTCAGGATTTGTTTTAAGTGTACTTTGCTCATAATGTAATATTGACAGTGTAATGTTTATTACTCAATAGGTATCCTTTCTGTGGTCAAGACCAGTATACCCCTGTTAGAAAAACTGTGCTTAAGTTGAGTATAGAGTTGGCCTCAACTGCTCAGAGAGACCAGTTTGTTGAAAAACCACATCAAGTGATAAAGAATAATGTAAGTACTACAATTGATTAAAGCAGAAAATGAAATGACTTTGCAATATGCTTAACCCTCAAATTAGTGTCTTGTTGTTATTCTTTTATTGAATATTATTATGTTTTTCTCTGTTATGTCATTTATTGTAATTCACCACCCAGATAGCTTTGATGAAATTATTAATTTTCTATGTTAAGTACACAGGAAACCCCAACAGTGAAAAGAAGAATTAATTGACGATTGTTTTCATTTCTGTTTTATTATGTGTCATCAAATGTATCACTTCTATTTGAATATGTGCGTGTCACCAAGTGTATCATTTCTGTTTGAGTTTGCATGTCATCAAGATTTCCTTTCTGTTTGAGTATGTGTATAAGATCCCATTAGTAATTGTAGGGTTAATGTTTTTATCACTTGGTGACTAATTTTACACACAAGTTTGCTAATTGGTAGGCTATTTTATTTATGCTCAGGAGAGCCACCCCTGTAAAAAAAATTTTGTAAATATTATGTTATAGTACATGTATGGTTATTTGCTTGGGGTTTGGGGATTCAGGTAGCTTTAAAGATGTTTTATTGAAGAACTTTTTCAATTTATTTTACAATTTTTTAAATGATGTTTTGAATATCATACATATTAATATCAAAATTGTTTATTACATTTAAGTTAAACTTACTATATGATAGGATAAGATTATCCTGCAGTTAATTTTAATTAGTGGGAAAAGCTGTAAGATACATTAACTTTTCTCTTCAATGTTTTAAATTTTTCTTCTTAAGTATATTTTAATCAAGATGCTGCAAGGTTAAGCATTTTTTCTCAAGTTTGTTGATTTTTAACTGAACTTTTTTCTTCAACTGTGCCTTATTATTTCAACCTCAGTGAGCATTTACTTTACAGTTGACTCTTTTTTTTTTTGAGGAGTGGTTCTTAAATACCATCACATCATAGTTGAAATTTTCCAGAATTTTGTTTGCTAACTCTCAGTGTTTCTCCTCAAGAAAAGACTTATCTGTGATGAAGTTTTTATGACATCAGTACAATTACCTATTTATCTATTTTAGTGCTTTAATTAATTTTTTATTCTTTCATAATTCACTGTTTAAACAAATCTTGGATCTCTTCAGAGTGTTTTTACCTTGTGTGATGAATTCATTCAGGTGTAGAGTGAGATATTGACTCTCATAAACACAGTAGCACTTACCATCTACTTGGTTGTCAGTTAATTCTTTATTTCATACCAATCATGTGTCAAAATGCTTGGTATTATTAGGTTAAGTGCGAAGATAACTCTCAAACAAATATGTATATGCAATTTGTCAGTGAAATAGTGTATAAAATGATGAGCATCGCTACAAATATCAATTCTCTCAATACTTGGTTCATGATATTTATAGCTCATTGATGTCACACTTCTTAATGAGATATTAAGTACATTTAACAATTTGTATAAAAGTTTGTGATGGTAGATATGTGTGTATAATTTTCTGGGTGATTTGTGTGTGTTTTGTTTTTAATTTTCTGTCTGGTGTGTTTGTTTATCTTAATTTTCTGTCTGGTGTTGTGTTATAATTTTGATATTACAGTTGTATCTAATAGAACATTTACAAATATGTAACTGCCATATACATGAGATATTTTCTGTTGATGTACACATAACCACATATATAATGTATAATATATTTTGATATAGTTATATTTTATTGTTTATGTGAACTTTTATAATTCGGTATTTTAACAAACTTCTGATATCTTCTTAGTGTTTGAACCTTGCAGAACTGTGTGACAAAGTCATTCAGGAATATAGTGACTCACTGCTTATTCAACCAGCATCTTTAGATGTTGCCACTGTGAAGAAAAAATCTGATGAAGAACTGGTTAGCATATTTTTACAATCTTTATGAAGTGATTTGTATCTGCATCATTTTTCAGAGTTTTGGTTGAATTAAGAATATTCATTATCATACATATGAGGATTTACTGTATCTAAAGGATACTGTTGTTGAAAAGGAAGAAGTATTGGAAGGACAGTGAGTTTTAAAAATACGTTTCTTTTAGATTGGGAGTGCTATTTTAAATTTTATTATAGTTATGAATAAATAAGTTTATTGAGCAAGATTTATGTTGTTAATATACGATTAATAATTAAAAAGGTAAATATGCAAAAAAAGGACTTAAATTACAAGTTTACACACATCTGTAGACCGAGGTGTATATTTAACCGTAAAGTAATGCTTGTCTTGTACAACAAAAATAATATGCGTGAGGGAGTACCATGTTATTCACTGTCCTGGAGCCCTGAGGTGTCTTAATCTGCAACTGAGTATATTTATACACACACACACACACACACACACATACATACATACATACACATATATATATTAATGTTTGGAAATATTTAAAACATTCTGGTGCATTAATTGAAACTAAACAGAAAAAATATTACTTTCATTCATTATGGTTTGTCAGTCTTTTGTTTTTTGATCAGTGATGTCCGACACATCATATTCTAAAGTAATTTTATATCTTTAACTTCTAAGTACATCTGTACTTATTATTTCTCAAAGTATTAATTTTAGATTTGTGAACAAAAAATGAAAGTCAATACACATGTAAGTTTACATGTTAAAAACACTTGTACTTAGGCTTGTAAATCCAAAAATCAAAACTATAAACTAATGTACTAATAAACTATGATTTCACAGATTGCAAGTTTAAAAGAGATAATAACTTTGTTCATAATGTATTGTCATACAGTTGGTGTACGCAGCTCAAAGTAGCCAGGGATAAAGTAGCTCTTCATCATTCTAACTAAGCATATTGTGGTTATACACATTTATATACAATTCTTTTGATGTAGAGAATGAAAAATATTAAATACATGAAAGTATAGCACACAGTACATTGAAAGCCTTAGTGCATGTAAGTAAGGATTACGAAATGTGTAAGCAGATATAACATAGTAAGTTACATTTATCTATTGCCATAATGAGGTATTTAATTAAAAAATCAAATGAAAAAAGTATAAAAGTTACAAGTTTTATAATTATATAATAAGGGCCCAGCATGATCTGGTGATTAGGGTGTGTGACTCACAATCTGCGGGTTGTGAGTTTGAATCCCATCACCAAATACGCTCACTCTTTGAGCTGTGGGAGCTTTATAATGTGACAGTCAATCCTGCTTTTTGTTAATAAAGAGTAACGCATGAGTTGCGAGTAGGTGGTGTTCACTAGTTGACATCCCTGTAGTCTGTAACTTTCAAGTTAAGAATCGTTAGTGCAGCTAGCCCTCAAGTAGCTTAGCTTGAAATTATGAAACAAATAAACACAGTTAATAAAGCCATCATTGTTACTTTGTGCTTATGTTAAAGAAATTCACTGTTCTTTCAAGTTATTTCATTGTTTACAGTTGCAAGGGTCACATGAAGAGGGTGTAGCATAACTGATGTTGTTGCTGATCAGTAATAATTCTGTTTCCTCTTGGTCAGATAATAAATTGGTGTTTCTGCTCCATCACTTCCATGTTTAATGTATGAAAGTATAATGGAAAAGAGACAGAGCTTTCTTTTCTCTTTTGCATAGCTTGTTCATCCACTGTGTATATAATGTTGAAAAACAATATTTGTTAGATAAATCTGAAGGAAATGGTTGCAGTGTACACTTGCTGCTTTTTTATTTATAGATGTATATATATTTTTCATTTAGCCACACTTTAGATCTCTAGAGATGTAACTTAAGCGTTACTAGGATCAGTTAGCATCACCAATGAGTATAATATACAGCTGTATTGTTGAATTTTAAAACAAAGACTGTGTATAGTTGTTCCTTTGAATGTTGATGTAAAATTATGATTTTGTTTCACAGGGAATGCACATTCATTCTTCTTATTCAGGTGTTCATATGGTTGGAGGAGTAAAGTTTCAGGTAAGTTATTTAATTGTAATTAAGATGTGATGTATATATGAAAACATTGAGTAATGAATGAAAGCAAAATATTGCTTGTAGTTGCATTATTTCTTGATTCATAATTGTTTCCACTTTTAGATAATCTAAGAGGTAATTGTTCAGCATGCATATACTTGGTTAATCCAACTTCAAATGATTTTCATGTTACTTTTAATTAAGTATTGTTCATGAAGATTCTTGTTTATCATGTTAGTTGTCTTGTAATTAAGTATTGTTCAAGATGCTTGTTTTTATGTTAGTTGTCTTTTAATTAAGCATTGTTTAAGATGTTTGTTTTTATGTTAGTTGTCTTTTAATTAAGCATTGTTTAAGATGTTTGTTTTTAT